ACCTGTATACTGCACAAGTCAAAAAAAGGACTGTGAAATATCTACACATCCCTGACATAAACTGTTTCAACTTCTACCCTCAAAATGACATTCTAGAGCATTGGACACCAGAACAACTAGACACAAGAACCGTTTTCCCCTGCCATCACTCTGCTAAACAACTAATTCAGCAACTATTTACTAAGACTGTATTACTATCATTCTTCGCATCCTTCCTATTACTTATTTCCTTCTACGTATGACTATAACCTTGTTGTTTGTATCTTTACGATTATATTGTTTTATTTAGTTTCCTAGTATGATTTTGATTGCTTATTTTGTATCCTATGACTATCACTAAGTGTTCTATCTTATGATGCTTGATGAATGTATTTTTAATGTACACCAAGAGCTTATACATGAAGACAAATTCTTTGTGTGTCTAATCACACCTGGCCAATAAAGAATTCTATTCTATTCTAATGGAAGCAAGGGCCCAAGGAGCATGAGAAATGTTAAACTGAGGCTATGTTGTTATTTGAGTGGTTGAGATACAATAGCTATCAACAGAAATGACCTTTGGCCAGACAGCCAGGTATAGACAGCATATAGGAACTGTTCAGGATTTCAGCTATTAGCTGGAGCAGATCATGGGAACATCAGGAGTGCAGGGGAGAATTACACTGATGGCTAGAATGAGATACAGGTGGTCCTTGACTTACAACAGTTCTTTAGTGACCATTCAAAGTTACACCACCACCGAAAAAGTGACTTATCATCATTTTCACACTTATAACCAGTGCAGCATTCCCATGGTTACATGATCAAAATTCAGACGCTTGGCAACTGACTCATATTTATGATGGTTGCAGTGTCCCAGGATCATGTGATCACTTCTGCAACCTTCTGACAAGCAAAATTAATGGGGAAGCCAGATTCACTTAACAACTCTGTTACTAACTTAACTGCAACGATTCATTTAACAACTGTGGCAAGAAAGATTGTAACATGGAGCAAAACTCACTTAACAATTCTCTTCATTTAAGCAACAGAAATTTTGGGCTCAATTGTGATCATAAGTCGAGAATTCCTGTACCTGTACCAATAAGGTAGCTGTTCTGGGAGAGAACAGCAATTTGTTACTGGTTCTCCTCTTCCATCCAGCTGCCTTCTTCCATATCCTGTTTGTTGGATTGCTAAGTATCTTAGCTTCAGGCTGCTATTAGTGAATGCCAACTTCCTGTGTAATAAGATCTTACTCCTTCTTAATCCTGTTTGAGAATGATAGAGTTGGCATTATAACCATGCCCTAATCGGCAGAGCACAGCAGATAAGCCCTATTTGTGATCTGCCAACACAATTTCAGGTGCACCAGCAGATATAATTCAATGGCTAGGAAGGCAGAGTAACAAATATCATGCAACAAATCTAGTGATGATCTGATACCCTGCTCCATAGGTGATTGGATTTACTGGTAAGTACCTGCATTTGAATATTCAAGAGCCAATTAGTGCTTTGTTAAGGGAGGAGGTTTAATTTTACAAATAAATAAATAAACTGTTCACTCAATACTACCAGCCTCTTTACAAGCCACAATAGTTAATTTGACTAAACAATGAGCCAGAAAAACTACTGATGACCATAAATGGACAAGCAATTAAGGAAGCAATTAAGGACTATCTGACCTACACTTCAAAAGGTGATCTCAGAAACATTTGATATTCCATTATCTCCAGTAGAATATTGTAATAGTACACAAGAGAATCTTGTTTTAGGTCTAATGGGTTTTTGATAAACAAATAATGGTAGAATATTACTTCAAATGGCCTATAAACAAAGCAATTCAGTTCATTTCATGCTTGGTTTTTTTCAAGAGATGATTTTCCTAATACATAAAATAGCAACTGATAAAATGCAGCTTGCTTCATTTGTAATGGAAAAAATACCTGTCACAATGGGTTAAAACATAAAAATATTTATTTATATCATCCAAGGATATAAATATTGGTAGAAAGAATAAAAGAAATGTAATAGTTAACTATTAGCCTCAATCTAACACTAGTACATGAAACTCTATTGAGGATTAAACTACTCTTCATTCTATCACAGAAAGATCACCATTTCAACTAATGGGGGGGAAAAGATAAAACTTCCATAAAATTGACTCATTAGCAACAATGCTTTCTACAATAACTCATCCTGTCAAATTTAATTGTGTCCAGAGGAAACATTAGAGAAATAAGCATTATGTCCTTTAAAAAGATGCCAAAGAAAGAACATACCTTCCAACAAAAGATGTGGTGGAGGTGAAGCTGCTCTGTAAAATGAACAAAGGGTTATCTCACTTATTTGGAACTAAGATAATTCAGTGACATTACAGGATATGAAGTTAGATTAGAAATGAAATATTTTAATTTTATCGCTGGCATCTGGTGCCCATAAGGCTGGCTAAGATTTATCCAAACTCAAACCCAAAATGTTGGAAATGCAGACAAAAACAAGGTACCTTCCATCATACATGGTGGTTATGCCCTGAAGCGAATAAATGCTGGAGGAAAATACAAAAGTGGTTACAGGAACTAATAGGAAGTCAAATAGAATTTGTCCCAGAATTATTTCTACTAGGGATAATTAAAGGAAAATTTAATAAAAGGACAAAATATATGGTGCAACATATAATAACAGTGACAAGGATCGCCTTTGGGCAGTGTTGGAAGAAAGAATATACACCATCCAGTAATAATTAATAGTAATTAAAAGTTTTTGAATGTGCAGAAATAGATAAATTGACTACAGAATTGAAAGGTAAAGATTCTGAATATTATGCAACATAGGAGAAATGATATAATTGGATAGAAAATAGAAATAAGAAAAGGAAATGTATACAATAGATGTAGAAGGTATAGCAATAGAATGTATTTTATTGGATTTGTATTGGATTGGATATGAAACGTAGCTGTATAAAAATGTCACAGTACTGTTTAATATGTGATTGAGATATGTAAAAAGGAAAAATTCAATAAAAATATTTTTAAAAAAGAAATGAAATATTTTAAAAATATCTAAACCTAACGAAAGAAACATTTACTGAATAATCTAAAGTGGATTTTGCTGTGAATTTAGTTTTGCTGGAAGAATACAAGACACTTAAAAAATAAATCTTAACAAAAGAATACATACAGAGATCTTATTACAAAGAATGCAGAAGTTAAAAGAATATAGATTGCTAAAGAGTTTTCATTACTTCATCACAAGTCTTTAATTGAATCTTGCGCTTCTATTAATAGTTATACAAAGAGAGTTTATATGTTACACATGCATTTATGTTTTTAATTAGAAGCTTATATTAGTGAGGGAATTGTAGAGGGGAAAAAGACAGAATGAGATGAAGTAGACTATAAGAACAAAGTCAATTTGAATTCAAAACCTTACACATCAAGAGACTTTACTGCGCCATTCCAATACTCTACAGGCATGCTAGTTAACTCTGGATTAACACTGTAATCTAAATTCAAAATGACCACCATCTTGGATCCTTTAATAAGAGATATGAAAGGTGGGGAAAGGATTTATGAAGCATGAATTACTATAAACTGAACACAATCCAATATAATCCAGAATATACCAAATTAAGAACTAAACTAATACATGAAAGGATAAAAAAATTTTACTTAATAAAATCTACATTCAAAGGCAGTAAAAACTGTTGATATTACTAGAGTTACAGAAATGAAACTGGTTAAACAAGACTTCATATGACAACTCATGAAGTCTGAACTTCCCATCACCATCACTTTGTTTATCTATTTTTTCCTGAAAATAAGCTTTCTGTAACTGCTTGATGGAGGGCGAGGCAAACTCAGAAAACAATGTTTACAGCAGTATTGATAATTTATTTGGTTTTCAACATTAACTTTACTCCTAAAAACAAAAATATTTAAAGTTCCACAGTTTTAAGCTCCATTTGTAAAAGAACGAACATCCCAACTTGTATACCAAGTATATTTTGTGAGCAAATCAAGTCATACATATTGTATTTGAAAATGTCACTACTGCATGTCTTTTTATTTCTTCTATTCTTTGAACTCTAGTTAAGTGGCTGGAAGATTTTATTTCCATTAGTTTTTTTGTTTTTTTAAACAGCCATGATATATGAAAGAACAGAAATAGAATAAAAAGTAGAGTTCTTCAAATATAATTTTTGTAACATGAAAAAGGTAATAACTGAAGAAAAACATATGAAATGGACAAACCACTCTGGTTCTCTTTGGCTCTAATAGGGTTGGTTTTAAAAAGTATTTTGAATAGCCCTGATTGAATGAAAAGTGAATACTCTCAAGAACTCATTGAACGTATATGGCAGATGTGAACAACCTTCCTTTCACCAAATTAATGTACAGAAAAATTTAGGGTAACTAGACAAGTTCACACAGTTAGCTCAAAGAAAGGAAAACTATGTGTTGCTATTGTTATAAGTGCATAGTTAACTTTTTTTTTTTAAAAAAAAAATAAACCTCTCTTCCAGATTTCTGCCCAGGAAGAGTTATAAAGATGGCTGGTAAGTCTATAAAGGCTTGATACCAATGTCCCACCCATTCCTTTTCCTCCAAGAGACAGACTGATGAACTGAATGACTCCCGGATTTCTGTCTCCTGGAAGTTGGAGCATTTATCACTTAAAAGGATTTAATTTTACTCCGACACAGCTGCCCACATCAACAGCACTATTACTACAGTTCATCAACAGGTTCAGTGATACAAGCGTGGATTTTCTTGTCACCCTTTCCAATCAATGCAATTTTATCTCGAGAGTGCCCAGATTGTAAATCCATCCTAGTATCTGTATACACAGAGCATACCTTGGCTCTCTTTTTCCGGTTGATTAATCCGGAAGAACGGATTTTCACTTTGTCCTCGGCACGAAGAGGGCAGGGAAGCGCAACCAAACAGGTGATGGTAGAGCGATGGGGGGAATAAAGAGAAATAAACTACAGGCATCCTGACCCACCCCGGCTTTTTTACCTTTCACTTGACTTTCGTACTCGGCTACGATCTCTTTGTCCTTTTTGAATCTGCTTGAGGATGACATTATCCAGACGATATTTTTTTTTTGTTCGTTTTACACTGCTAGAGAAGACTCCGGAGTTGAGATTACAGGATCTTCCTTCCCACAGAGGAAGAGGGATCGGCTGGGTTAGGCGCGGCACTAAGCAACGCGTCCCACACCAGACAGAGCCTGCCGGTTCTCGGAGTAGCTGGCCTAGGTCCCTCCAGCTCACCTCCCCAAAAGAGGGGCTGAAGATAAGGCTTTAAACTAATCCCGGGGCGGGCACCATCTCCAGAGGTAAGGATTGGGGAGAAGAAAGCAGCAAAAGGCGGGGCATTCGCCTCCTTTCGCTCCGTATCGCGGCTGCTCTTCTCCGAAGCCTCGATTAAGTCACTGGAACCGTCGAGTGTTCCCTGGAAGCATCTCCTGCCTCGGGCGAAGAGAAGGAATGGATCGGGTCGTGCTCGGCTAGTCTCCGGCGCGTCCGGCGGCACTCGAGGAGCTCTCACGGCAGCTGCTATCGCTGTTGTCGCCTCCTCCCGGAGAGCGAGAGCTACGCAGGCGACCCGCTCCCAAGAGACCTGGGCGAGGCGCCGTCTAATTCAACCTCCAGCAGCCCCTCAAAGCGTCTCCCGGAGAAGCCAGCAGCCTCGCCCTCCCAACAAAGTTCTCGCTTCGCCCTTTCCTTCGCCTGCTCCCACTCGCCTCGCCTCCTCCAGCTGCTGCTGCCGCCAAGCCTTTAACTGAGCCCGCCGCTTCCCTCAGCTGTTGGCCTGAAAGGGGAAAGAAGACGAGCAGCTCATCCGAAAGCGCTCAAGGAGAAAGACTTTAGTCTCCAGTCCAGCGGCGTCCAAATGCCGATCGGGGTTTTTTTCCCCCACCCTGCGCGGAGCGACGTCTGTAGTAGCCAACGGCAACTACGCAAGTTCTTCTGCCGCCCAATGGCAGAGAGCAGAAGGTGGGACGTAGCGAGCGAGGTTGCCGAGTGCCTCCCGGGGTGAAGAAGCGAGCGGCCTGTGACCAGGCTGGCGCTGGAGGCTGTGCTTAAGCGCCGGCTTTACGAAGCGCGGTGCTGCTGAGCGGGACTCAAAGCAGCTGCAGAGGGGAGGGACGGCAGTTGAGCTGCGCGGCGCCTCTGTTCTTCCCTCTCCCGGCGAGCATCTGGTGAGCGGGGTTGTGCCGGGGAAAGGAGTGTTGGGCGACGATAAGGTGTCGGAAAGCACTCTCGACCTGGCGTGGAAAGTAAATGAGGCTCTGTCTGGAAGACATAAAGCTGGAAGACGGAGATGGGAGGAGGAAAGAGAAGGGCGGTTACTTAGTTTGGAGATCACGTCTGCAACCTTGTCGCAAGATCGCCAGAGCATTGTTTCCTTGTGTTCTCTTGAAAACCGTGTTCATCTAGGTGCCTCCGCCATCCCTTGTCCCTTTTAAGAATCCTACTAAATAGCCATTAGAAGGGAAAATATAGAGTATTATGATGATCTTACACCGAGAAAGAATGTATAGATGTGCGCACGCATCTATATATCTTACACGAATGCGCCTGGAAGTATAAGAAGTAACCACACCCATCTTTGTGGAAGACACGCGCGCACGGTCCAGATCCGAAGGCAAAGGAGTAACTTAATGCCACGGAAAAGGCTCTCGGCTTGCGAAATACAAATAGTACATTGATGCTTGCAAGACTGACAGAAAATTATGCTGCTATTGTTAAGTTGCGAGCAATTGTTGAAATCTTTTAAATTCCTTGGTTTTCTAAACTGTTTCCAAGATTGATGTTCGAAATTGATGTTTCGTGGCATTTAAGCAATGTACTAAATGTATCATGTATAATCCGTTATTCTAAGGAGCTGTGATAACTTCCTCAACCAGTTTTACAATAACTCTGTGAAGATAAGTTCAGATATGTCTGGCATTAGTGGGCTTCATGGCCGAATAAGAGTTGAAACAGAATTTCCCTAATACAAGTTTTCAATTAACCACTCTAAATTTTGACGCTGCTACTTGAGAAATGCAACACGCCTGGATAGCTGCTATTCGGAAAAGTCTAAAATCAAATGCAGAATAATTCAATGTTGGTTGATGATGAGGGTCATTTCACCCACAGAGCTGAAAATTATTTAAAGAAACTGTTTCTTATATCTGCACTATCTGTGAAGGAACTGACCTGGCTTTATATTGGGCAGTTTGATAGCGAGAAGTCTGTATTAGAGGGGGGGGGGACATATTTCTAGCTCTTTATTTTTAGTCTGACCCTAGTTTTCAGTTTGACTATTTAAACATAATAATCCATGCCCAACTTGGTTTTTTTTAAAATTCAGAATTACATTCAGAATTAGATTTAAGACAAGCCTACCAATTAAAGTTCATTGAACCACTACATCATACATTGAGATATTATTTAAAGCAAAATATGTTTTTATTTTTAAAAAAGGTTTATGTTGCATATGAAAATTCTAATTGAACAATCACTTTCAGGGAATTCTATATTAAATACCTGAATAATTGTTACTTATTCTAGTACAGGATATTATGCACAACTATAGGACTTGGTAATCCCTCAATAATAACCCTAGGCTGAGATGTACATTTCAGGTTGCAGTATAGTCATGGGAAGCATGTCTGGGTTTGAAGCTATCTTTCGTCAGATAATCAAAATAAAATTATATTAACCAAATTTTACGTGCACTGTAATATGGCTTGAATTAAGTAGAATAATCATCTCATAAGGATTGAAGAAAGATTCTGGGCTTATAATGGTACAATCTTCTTCCAATTTGTTAAAAGGAGTTACTAAGCTCATGGTCTAAAGTCAGCACTGTCTAAATGACAAGCAACCATATTTGAATCATAGAACGTAAGTGAAAAAGAATTTTTAGATGAGAATAGAGAGAATGTTGAGGACATCTGCAAGGTTATTTTTCAAAGGCTGTTTTTATATATATATGGGAAGGGCTTATGAAGACAGTTTTGTAAAATATAGTTTTCATTTAAAATAAATTTAAGTTTTCATGTTTTTATGACCCATTTTCATTAACATGCAGTCTGTTTGAAGCTTAGCTCATTCTATTTTGTTTTTTTTTCCCATGCTAATGTGATTATTTCATTTTAGAAAATCTCTTCACTTGCTAAATGTCTATGGAGATTCTCAGTCTTCACTTGCTACTTTATCCTTTTCTATTTACACAAAGTAGACCTATAAAAGTGAGGCATTTTATCAGTAGGCAAAATCTAGTGAGAGTTGTTCATGGCAGTATCTCATCATTAATATAAATTGCACATACTGTTTATAGGTAAGTTATAGTAATTATACTGGGTCAGAAAGAAGATTACATATGCAAATATAAGTTTTTCTATTAAAAATATTAAAGTCTGATGAAAGAGATCCACCTGTTTATGCAAAAGAAATTCTAAAAACTGGCAAGAAGGAAAAGTTTAAGCTACCTTATAAAGAATATGAAACTGAGTTATTGGTAGTATTACCTACCTGGCATGGGAAATGTGGTTTTCTGTATGTTGCTATGTTGTATCAACTGTTACAGTTGATACAACTGAGAAAGACTACTTTCCCACCCCGGTATAGAAGATCTGGTACACAGCTCCTTGGGTTTTTCCCCCTCATACCTGCAACTTTCTGCAGATAAAACATACACCTTACTATTAAATTGTAAATAATAAATTTATCAGCAATTAAAATATTTGTTTATGTTTTCAAGAGGAGTGTCCCCAATTCATAACATCATGGGTTGGTAAAGGATTTAGAGTATATGGTGTTTTAGGAGAAGCCTTATCTGACCAAATGAGAAGGACATCTAATTTCTCATCCCATGTTCCTTTAATTGCAGCTACTATGTAAGATTCCTTACAAAACAGGAATCTTCCTCAACCCTCAACCCTCACCCATTACTGAAGCATTTTCCTCAACCCTCACCCATTACTGAAGCAACTTAACTTCATATTTATCCGATCCAATGTTAAAGTGGTGTTTTTCATCTTTTCCAGAAGCACAGTTTGTTGTATTTCACCAGAATTTGACATGTTCCTATTGGCTATTTCTTCCCCCTGATCACTGGAGACTTCTGTATAAAGGCTCTGCCTACAGAACGGCTTATACACAGCCACTTATATGCCAGAGTAGGGCCCAAAATGAATGACACACTGGGCTGGTGGAACAAGCAATAGAGGGACAAAAATGGACAATGGACAAAACCGATGGAGAAAATTATATCTCTCTGACTGAAGATAGGGTGAGAAAATGAGAAAAAAAAAGCAAGGAAGAAAAGTGAAAAGGTGAAAAAGTTGAGTGAGGAAGAAAAAGAGAGCATGAGGAACCACAATGAGAGAGAATGATAATCTGTAAATCCCCCTTGAGACAGCAGCTGTGGCCTGGGCCCTGTGCAGTAAGTGTGGGCTTCCTAGTAAATCCCCCATCTATCCCACAGATCAGGTTCAGAGAAGACCAAACCCATCTGCTAAAACTCACATCTATTTTCCCAGTCCCATGCAACATTAGGAAGAAGGACTAGGGAATGTTTTTCCTCTTGGCAGGAAATCTAATGACTTTCCTTAATTTGTTGCACATTAAAGCTGTCGAGACAGCACCATTTGCCAGTCTTGTTACTGAAGCGGAATAGAGATCAGCTGTTGAGACAGCAAATTATGCTGGCCTACTTTATGTCGCCTCACTGGCTGGAGCAGAACATGTTGAACTGGCCGCCTGTATGTGTCTTTAGACTCAAGAACTGTAAATTATAGGGATTAGCACACATTTCTCTGTCATAAAAGCAGTGATTTATGTTTAAACACATGATGTCATAACTATAAATGCACAAGCATAACAAAATAGTACTAAAAGCTTTTGCACTGCAGTCTTTCATTATACTGTATGTTCTCATTAAGGTTGAAACAGTTTATGAGTTATGCTATTAAAAAAGAGACGTCCTTTGAATATCTTTCCTGAAATATTGAGATTGACTAAGCTCACATCGTAATGAAACCCATTAGCTTCCTTAAGTGAGAAAGTTGGAACTTATTTTCAAGGGAACAGTCTGCAGAAATGATAGAAGAAATTCTAATCATTGAATTCTTTTATTAGATTTTATTAGGATTTCCAAGAGAATTATCATCATTATGAAGGATGTGCATGTGCAATGTTGGCAGAATTAACAAGCATGTATGCTTTGTGTGTAAACAAAATACAGATTTACTTAAAATTATGCTTAATATGAAGATTTTTCTTTAATTACTAATGTTTCTATTCAATTTCTATACTAAGATAAAATAAAAACATAACATAGTTCTTAGTTTGGTAGTCAATAACTGATTAATTTACATTCAATTAATTTCAGTGGATCATATGACCAGGTTTGGATACAACCCATTCAGTTGGATATTAAATAATTAACATTTTTTAACAAGGGGTAGCTAAATTAAATGCAAGGACGTGTATGTATAATTTTTTTGCAGCAATACAAGATACGGTAGTTTCCCATTGCCTTCTTCAAAAGACATGGGATTCATACAATATTAGCAAGATATTTCCACAGAAATAGAACTATTTAGTGGTCTTTGGGCCAGATGAAAAGATTTACTTCATGAACTAGAATTCAGGTTAAAAGTTCAGTAGGGTTAAGAATTTTTTAAAATAGCTATTAGATAAAACTCTGTAATACAGCACTGATACTTTCTGAATGGTTTTAGAACCTGAATGAAAATGTTATTCATTGAATGTTTTGATAATGACTAATTTCATTTTTTAGCTAGATGGATAAGCT